AGGCCGCCCGGCCCTTGGCCGCTGCTTGGGCCGGGGGAGCAGCGCCCGGCGCGGCTGCCCCGGGAGGGCTCTCGGTGGGGGCACCACGTTTTAACCACGTGTGTAGAAATAGGTCCGTGTAGGACCATTGTGTAGAGCCTTCCTCCATCCCCTTCTCCTCCCCTTCTTCTTCTCTTCGAGGCGAGCTGAAATCCGAACGGTGAGATGTAGGAGAGCGCGAAACCCCCTGAATCCCATCTGAATAAATGTCTATATTAATGAATTATTAACTCGGCCGCTCGTGACCTTAAAACTGGAATGAGGAGACGCCTAGGGCAAGAAGGAAAGCTGCTGAATCCTTTATCGGACTCCTGTCAGAGGTAACCGACCATTTGTCTTCCCCAGATCAGGAGAATTAATTAATATGAAAGACAAACTTTTTAATTGTGTGTCAAACGAAATCAGATAGGGTGTCCCCGATTCAATCCCTTTCTAAAGGGGGTTTAGCTCCCTTTTCTACCCCCAGCGTAAAATAAAACCTTCAAGTTTCCAAAGAGACGGGCATTTTTCTTAAGTGTTATTTACAAAACAAAAGCCATGCAACAAAAAAAAAAAATCAAAAAAACCCCCAAACCCCAAAACCCAACCAAACACCCTAAAAGGGAAAAAGAAACAATCGCAGGGAAAATGATGAATTTGGGTAGTTAATTTATCGATCTTGGCTCCTCTTCTCGCTTGTTTTATTTTAGAGGTCATTAATCAATGAAGAAAAACACCACCGTGTTCCCCTTTTGCATTTAATACACTTACCCTCCTTATTTATTTCTTTTGAACAAATTCCTAGCAAATATTCACCAATCGATTCGTAGGCGATGGATTTTTATAAAGGTTTGATCGCTTTCTAAATGGTCAATGTGATTTGTTTCAGCACTCGTCCTCTAAATAATGAAAAAGCCTGAGAGAAGGGGAAGAAGGAGGCAGTAGTTGAAACCTCCTTTCTTTTTTCTCCACATCTCTACATCCTGGAGGAAGAAATAAAATAATTTTTAAAAAGAATAATAAAAAAAATCCCAAAGGAGAAACGGTAACAAATAGACCGTAGACAAACTCGGCGGAGACAGAAGGGACGCGCACAAGCCGCTCTGCCTTGGGAAGCGAGACCAGAGGTCAGGGTTTGCTAAAGACACCCCGGGGAGACGCAGGTTCAGGGCTGGGAGCCCTGCTGGTGGATCTGCCTGTTCTCCTCTTCCCGAGGGGGTGAAGGAGCCGGGAGCGGCGGTGTGTCGGAGAGGCTGGGAGAGAAGCCGTCCTCTGCCCCGGTGAGGCACGCCACTCCCCTCCCGCTGGCCCCGTGCGGGGAGCCCCGCTCTGCCCGCCCGCCGCTCGGCACCGGCGCTGACCCGCTGCCCACCGACCTTCCCCCCGGCCGCGCTCCTGCTTTCCCACCCTGGGTCGAGTGGACCTGGCGCAGCGGGGGTGCTCGTCGTTAAGGAAAAAGGCCAAAGGACAAGGCTTGGCTTATGGGGTCCGCCCACCCCTCCTGAGCGAGTGACCGATCGGACTCGCGGCAGAGCCGGGGGCGCGGACCGGGATCCCTCTCTGCCGCCCGCTGCCCGCACGGCCCTGAGCACCGGCGAAGACAGCGAGCCCTGTACTTCTTTTTTCCTCTCCTCCGGTTCGGCAGGGTCCCAAGGTGTCAAGGGAGTCTATGAATTTTATTCTGCCACCTTGATCGCTCAAGGCGCTACTTTTCTGTCTGTAAAAAAAAAAAAAAAAAAAAAAAAAAAAAAAAAAAAAAGCCCACAGCAACAGATAAAGTCCTCCTAATATGAATCCGCATGGAATACTTCTGCTAACAACTCGAAGCAAGTGCAGATATTGACAATGTACTTAAGCCCATTAGTTAGGAGCTTTTCCCCACTTCATCACGTTTTTCTAGCACGAAACGAATTTTTAGAGATTGCTGCCACTAAAAGCAATTCAGTATTTTTAAAAGGCGTCCAGTAAGGAATATTACCATAATGCAGATGTGCACGTTTAAAAAAAAATAAAATGGAAAGAGTCGGATGGGGCGGAATAAAATTTGAGCTGGCTATGGACGAGACACTGTATTAGTGCAGTGAAAACAGAGGAAACTAAGAGCACCCACTGTCACTGTACCCAGCACCGCGCTGCACACACTCCAGTCACTGAGCGAACAGATTCCCAACCCGCACCTCTGTCCCTCAGATGAGCAGTAGCACTGCAAAACTTCAGAAAGTGTGTTAATAGAGAGAGATGAAAATTATTACATGATGCACGATAGAATTGATCAAAGACATGAAAAAGGTTTTCATAGGCAACTTCATAACCCATAAAAATGTTGGTTGGGGGGTGTTCCTAATCGTGTTTGCCTTTAACTTAGGTGTTATCAATCTATACAGCAGATGACGGATGACCTTGTCAAAATGACGCCAGTCAAAACATTTTTTGCCCCAGCCCTGTTCAAATTTGTGTTAAAATGTCCTGCCTTAGACAGACAGACAAAGTCTAAACAGCAGCAGCTTTCCCAGGCTCTGCGAGAATGAAGGGTGGGAAAGAAATAAACTAGAAGCAGGGTGGGGGGGGATGGCGAAAACAGTTTACACGCGCAGACATTATGTTTAGAGGGAGCTCAGCGTTTCATGTCAGCGTGACACCTGTCTGTGGAGGCTTTTCTGACTAGAGAGATGTTTTGGTGAGATAAACACTTTGTGTAAAGATTTTGTCCTAAATACAAGGCATACTAAGTACACGTGATATACCTAATAGATTATAGTTCTCGTCTGGTTTTTCATACGGTGTAGGAAGAAACTGAAAAAACCTCCAAACTTGTTAAATACTCACTGATGCGTGAGCTCAACAACTGAGTAGTAGAGCGGAAAACTTCTCAGTAAATTTCTAAGCAAAGTGGAGAGAAAAAGTCGCTAGAGATGAGAAGTTTCTTGCCACAGGTTGCATTTCGCTCTGGCATACTTCTTTCTCTGTGCTGTAACCGAGTACAAAGAGCAGGAGAGAGGCGTACTAATGGTGCTGGAGGGTGCGAGGTCTGAGGAGGGAGGAACTCTGAGGCGGTGGGTTCCCTCAGCTGTATTGGGACCTCCTGGCACTGGTCACAGGTAGAAGAGGGGAAAGGGAGGCAGGTCATCCCAGCAGGCGCGTTAAGTAAAGTGGTTGGGACAGTATCAGGTCAGGGTGAGTAGGTCTTTAAAATCCACCCTAGCCCCCGAGGGGCAGAAGGCAAGCGAGGCAAGACCGCAGCTAACGGGAGGCTGGCCGCCTGCGAGGCGCTTCGGCCGCCGGGGCCGGAAGCTCCCGTAGCCCGGCGCTGGGGACAGTGCAGAGGCGGGGATCCCGCTCTGGACGGCGCCGAGCCATTGCTCTCCTCCCATCATGATAAAAGCCCAGCTCTTCTCGGGGCGCTGCGGTCCTGGAGCTAAGGGGAGGGAGGGAGGGAGGGAGAGAGCGTATGAGAGAGTATGAGAGAGATGCAGAGAGATGAGAGAGAGAGAGAGGGAGGGAGAAGAGAAGGGTGGGAGGTTGAGGTTGGAGAGAAGGAAGGGAGGGGAGGAAAGGTAGAAGGGGGAGGGGGAGGGAGGGAAGGAGGAGGGAAGGGAAGAAAGGGACACCTTTAAAAGTTGAGCAAGGAACAAAGTGGGGGAAGTCGCCAAAAAAAGGGCTCTGTATCCAGGCTCGCTGGTAACTTCCCGATCCCTCCCCTCCCTCTCGTACACGCCACACACACTTGTATTTTGCGCTGTCGTAAAACCCACGTGTCTCGACCGGAGCCTGCCAGAGCCGAGCCGAGCGCCCGGCCGCGACTGCGATGCGCAGCCACGGCAGAGGGAGCCCGGCGGCTCGCAGCTAGCCGGCCCGCCGGTACCCGGCACCTGGAAGAGGATCACCCCGCTCCCTCGTGGACAAAGACTAGAGAAGTCTCTGCTCTCCGTCCTCCTCCTGCTCAGGCTCCCGGAGCTGCCGAAACGTCCACCCGCGCAGCAGCGCTCATCCCGCTCAGGTAAGGCAGAGTCGGGCCGGGCACAGCGGGGCACCTTCGCTCGGGACAGGACTCTGCCGGGATTCGTCCTCCGCTTCCAAACGCCAGCGTGGAAAGCAGGAACAGCCGGAGAGAAGAGACCCGCGCGCGTATGCGTGTAGCTCAACTTTTCTCCTCCTTCTCCTCCTCCCTGTTGTCAGCGGAGAGTCGTTTGCTCCCGCGAGGAGAGGGAAGGGAATGAAAGGGGAGGACAGTACGTGCGCCTGGGAGGGGGTGAGCTGAGCTCCTTGCGGGGCGGCCGGGGGCTTTCCGGCCACGGGTTGGCGTGACGGGATGCCCGGGACTGCCCGCGTCCTGCCCGCGCTCCGGGGGACAGTCTTGTCCCCCCGACCACCACGGTTCTCGCGTGTCCTCCCTGAGGCTCTTCGGGACGAGATTTTCTCCTAAGGAGCCTGGCACGGGCAGGGGAAGTGGCGCGCTTACGGTCCCGCCACCGGTCCCGCACAGCTGCGGCAGAGCCCACGCGTGGCCCGGCGTGTCCGGGTGTGGACGACGGGGGTCGGGGCAGCGCCTTGCCGGGGCGGGGGGCGGGGGTCTCACGTCTTCTTGTCCCTTCCTTTTCCGCTTTACAGCAGAGCAAGATTTGTGAGGCCCGGGGGACCCGGCGGATCGTCGCGTTCTCCTGGAAGGTGGATCCGCCTATTACAGCACTGTTGGCAGCAAGCTTGTCCCTCAGAGCAGCAGCTCAAAAAGCAGCGGGGCCGCGCCCAGCTTCAGGCCGCCGAGAGAGCCGAGCCCGCGCTGTAGCCCTCCGCCAGCGCCCGGACCTTCCCTCTCCTCGCGTCTCCCTCTCCTCTTCCTCGTTCCACTCCGTCTTCCTTCTCACCTCTCGTGGTCGCCGCGGCGGCCGCTTCCCTGGCCGGCCTGACCTCTCTGCCTGTGACCCAGCTCCCAGTCTTCGGCCCGCTACAGAGCTCGGATCTCCCAGCCGTAGGAGCGCCCACTCCCCTGCAGGGCAAGGACTTGTGCGGGGCCGGCAGCGGCGGCAGCAAATGCGGCGACCGTGCGGTCGCTCGGTACCGCTGCACGGCCGAGGAGCTGGACTACTACCTGTACGGTCAGCAGCGCATGGAGATCATCCCCTTGAATCAGCACACCAGTGACCCCAACAACCGTACGTATCGTGCCCCTTCTCGCAGTTCTCGACCCTTCATCCTCCGCCTCTCCCCTCACTGGGCCGTCCTGGGGACGCTCCAGGCTGGGGGACCGCGGTTGGTGCCTGCACCGCTCTCCCTCTGCGAGGAGCATGCTTCGCCCTGCCCTTCTGTCCCTTGAGCTGTCTTTGAGTTGTTCAAAGTGGTTTCAGGAGACGGGCGGCAGCCCCTCGGTAGCAGTTTTTCTTGCCTGAGACCCAGATCCTTCCCTGGAAGGCACGCTTAACCGGGAAGGCTGTGGTGGGGGTAGATTTCTTTCGGAGGCCTGCTTAGGAAAATGGATTCAGAAATGCTTCAGACCAACTTACCAGAAAGGCGGTCATTTCTTACCTTGCATATCTCACTCTGTTCCTACCTGGAAATCCCAGGCTTCGCTGCATACCCAGAAATCAATTACTCCTCCGATCTGGGCAGGGAAAAGTTGCAGTTTTCATCCCATGGTCTAGGACAAAGTTTTCCTCCCTCTTATCTAAGAGTATCGTTTTCCTTTCAGACCTCGTTAACACGTCGCTGGTTTTAGTTTTCACCTGTATAGAAATGCATGACATGGTCATTTAATAAGAAAAACTGATTTCTAGAAAAAGTCTACATGAGTGTCAGAATTCATTTAGGACTTAGTGGATAGAAAGCGTTTAATACTGCTGCTGTTGCCAATTATACAGTCGTTTTTTGTTTGGTGTTTTTTTGGGGGGAAAGGGGGAGGGGAAGGGGTTGCCACTGTTATTAAACGCCTGTATCGATGAGAGGTCTGTAATTTTAGAATCTGGTTCTGTCTCTCCTTTGTTCCTATATCTGTCAATCCTATGCAACCAAGGAAATTCACGGGTTGAAAAGAGCTATATGAACTCCTAATAACTCAACAGTTCTATTACTAACATCCAGAGCACACGGATCTTCCCTTGTTATGACAGTGCACCGTGGCTTCGGTGCGTGTACTTTTTTTTTTGCATTGCTTCAAACAGTCTCCTTTATACTAAGTTTTCTTAAAACTCTTTATTTTTTTTTGTTGTCCTTCTCAACCCCCACTCCCTAAATGTCTATTTAAGGAAGGCTGTTGAACAGACAAACGATACCCCAAGCCAGCGATCCATAAACACACGCCCAAGCAAAACGCGGATTCGTTTAATTACATTTCAGATGCAGAGCTTGTTTTGAAAGTTTCCATGAAACTGTGTTGTGTGTTAATTAAATTGTCTAGGGAGTTGGGCATACTTTCAAGAGAAAAGTTGAGTGGAGTTTGGTGGAGATTTTTCCCGCTTTCTTAACATTGCAAATCTTTCTGTATTGAATGTTGGCTTTGTTTTAAGCGACTTCCTCATGCTTAGTTTTACCCTCTAGTGAAACATGTTCATATATATTTCTATTCTCGGGTGCAGAAAATGTGATCTCATAAATTACATACAGCAAATGTAATCCGAAATGCACTTCTAATCGCCAACCGAACCGTTCAGATAATACATGTTTTACTTCTCGGAGCAGCTCCGTAAATCTAAAAGATAAAGGTTTTAAAAATAGAAAGGAAGATTAAAAAAAGGATTGGGGGGAACATTTTTAAGGATTGAGTGGAATAATAGCACCCCACAGAGTCGCAGTCGAAGCCTGAATATTTTTTCCCAACCGCGATACTAAAGGGGAATTTGGGAAAGCAAACGGCTTGATTTGTCGCGTTCGGCGATGTGTGTGTGTCGCGTTCGTCTGGGACGGGGCAGCCCTCGCCGTCGGAAGCACGGGCAGGGTGCAGCCAGCGCCGTGTAGAGCTCTTTTTCTTTTTTTTTTTTTGTTTTTTTCCCTGCAGCTAGTCTAAATTTTCTTATCATTGTTGGAACTTGTTTACAGGGCGGACTGTCGCTTCCAGCGGTCGTTAGTTACTCTGAGGGAAACTTTTAAACGTTTTGAATGTTTTCAACTGGTCTGGGCCAGTGCATTTGCTTTGGCAATCATCGCCGTAAAAAAAACCAAAAAAAAAAAAAAAAAAAAAAAAAAAAAAAAAAAGAAAAAAAAAAGAAAAAGAAAAAGTAAACTGCAAATGAAGAAGGAGTGCGGGAACTGCATCCAGTACCGTGCCGCGGCACTCCACGCACTCGGACTATCAGGGGAACAAGCTGCAGGGCACAGGCCTGGCTTCCCCTGCGTGGCTTCCCGAGTCCATGGGCAGGCAGGATTTCCAACCGCCTTGACTCCCACCCTCAGTCTCCTTTCTGCACCAGAGGTGCCTGTTCGAGGGAAAGGAGGTGGCGGGCTGTGAGTGACGTGAGGAACCGTCGACTTTAGTTTTTGTACTTGTTTGCTGCACTTTCATCTTCGGACAGCCCCACCGAGACCCCGAGACGGGCTGGCTCTGCCCAACTTGGTATAAACCCCTGCCCGCCGGGACCGAACCCTGCCAGAGCGGGGTCGCCGGCACGCCGGCTCCGCCGGGCCCAGCCCGCGCGCTGCGGGTGTCGGCAGCTCCCAGGCTTCTTCCCGGCTTCTAATCTTAGATGTATCTCCCTCGCCATCCGAGCGAGCGCCTCGTTTCCCCTACTTTCCCAAGCATTCCCCTTCCCCCTCACGAACATCTCCTTCTTCTCCGGGGCACCCCGCTTCCCCTGTCTCCGGGCAGGACCAACCTTCGGAGAAGGTCGGCGAGCTTCCCTGGTTGTGCCGCCAGGCGCTCTCGTGCGGCCGGCCCGCCGGCGGAGGCAGCGGGAGGCGGCCGGGGCCGTCGAGGAAGGCGGAGCGGTGGCGGCGGCTCCTCCTGGCCCCGCCAACCGCTGGGGGCCCGCTCCACAGCGCCGGCTCGGCCCGTTCCGGGCGACCGCCGCGGAAAGATGAATGGGCGGCGGCTTCCCCATAGACACACGCCTTGATCGTCAAATGTCAATGCATATGGTACGGTCTTGGGCGAGGGAGAGGGCTGAGGACCGTCACGGAGCTGCAGGTTAAGCATCTGTGTGTAATTGTTTTAAACTGAAAGGGGGTTAACTGGGGGAAAATTAATAATAATAATAATAATAATAAAGGCAATTAAGAGACAAACCCCTAATTAGGGCCCTGCAGTCTTTACTCCCAGGGAAGTAAAGAGGATTATGTTAAAGCCCTGATAATGTAGCAGGCGGCTGGGGACGGTTTGCTTCCCAGCCTTGAATCTGGAAGGATGAGGGTATTTCTGGGCCCTGGGGGAGGGGCGCTCCGAAGGCTAGGAGGAGAGCTCCTAGGGTGAGTCTGGGGGCTGCGGGGCCGGCTTGCTCCCGTGGAGGCTTGCCCCTAGCTGCTGGAGAGAGGCTTTTTCAATGAGAAGTCTGAGACTCCTCTACCTTCACCAGAAAGAACCAAGCTGCCACTATAATAAATACGCTGTGTAAAACTGAAGTGTCACGCGACCAAGCACTTTGCACGCCTCTTCCCATTCAATTTACAGGGAGACACTGTATATATAACATGCTGTGAAGTGGATCGGTGTGGAAAATATTTGGATTTTTTTTTTCCTCTAGGCTGCTGGTAACCTGTATGATTTAGCTATTTTACATCATTAGTTACCCAGAACCCTTAAATATAGCAGATAGCCATACATTAGATTGAGGTTAGAGAAGGTGGTGACTGTTTATTTAGGGTGATAAAATGGTCCATCAGCAGTAATCTCCATCGATATGTGCCACCAGGAGATGAAGGATGAGGGGACAAGCCACAATTAATTGCCCTATAGTTTTGTAGGAGAGAGTGGAGCCGGTGCGGACTGAACTTCGATCTCCTCTCCCAGAGCCTATTCATCATCTCTACATTGTATATGGGGGTCTCTCAGGGGCAGAGGGTGGCAAGGTTTATCTACACACAATATTCTCCTACCCTTCTCATACCTGACACAGAAATTCAATTCATTCATACCTGTAGCAGAAGGCAGGAAAAATAAAGCCCACCTCCCTCAACACGCCCCCCACCCGCCTCTTAAAAATAACCCGAAAGCCGCTCCACAAGGAGGACGGCCGCCCTGACCCACCCCGGGGCGCCCAGGCAGCCCTCGTACATCATCTTCCCCCGAGGAGCTGGCGCGGGGTGTGTCTGACCCCCGAGCGGGGTCTCGGACCCCGCGGAGGATCTTGCGCCGATGCGGAAGCGGAGCGAGGGCTCCGCTTTGTCTCCCCCGCGGCGGCGACGCTCGGAGCCCGACCGGGGGAAATGGCGAGAGGAACGAGGGACAGACGGAAGGGGGAAAAAGCACGGAAGGGAGGGGTCTGGGCGCCCCGGGACCCCATGCCGCCGTGGGTCTCCACCCATCGGCGGTGACTCGGCACCCTCGGGACGCCATCCGACTCCTGGGGCAGCAGGCTGAGCTTGGTCCCTCTTCCTGAAACGAGTATTTAGAATAAATAAGCATATAAATACAGGGCACCGGAGGAGAAAATGCATCTGTGTTTTGTTCTCCCGAAAGTCTGCCTCGAGTCAGGCTGTCTGCTAGAAACTGCTACTAATTTTGTAAAAGGAGGTTGATACCAGCTCGTTGATGAGGCAACTGAGGTACAAGGGAGGCCGTGATTCCCTGGAAAACTCCAACCCTCAGGAAAGCAAAGGGTACTGTGTCATCCAGCCCACTCTCCCACTTAGCTGGGTACACGGGCCCAGACAGGGATGCAGGGCCAGCTGTGGTGATTTATACTTGCAAGTGAGTAATACCATGTGAAATGATGGCCACTTACACTGGATACCTGAATGCTTGCGGTGAATTATGAAGCAGAAGGTCAGAGGCCACCCTTCTTTAATACCGGCAAACTGCAGGTATCCAGTATAACTGCACCTTTGAAGCATATTATTGCTGAGACAAAAATGTATTTCTTTCATTTATTGTTACAGCTGGTTTGCTGGTTACAACCCTACCTTTCACTGACAAAAGCTTTCTCCTTTCAGATTTCCTTTAAAGCATGTAGTAGTAGTGATTTTTAGGTTGGATTAAACCAATCTAAGAGAAGAGTGTTTAGAATTTTGGTTTGGGTCAATGATATGTACTTTTGCTTGGTTTTAGTACTTTTAAGTGTACTCATATGGAGTTATAGTGCTGGCATTACACCGTGTTCATTTTTATGGAGGCACATAAACAGTAACATATTGCAATTCTCCCAAAAGAGCCATATCAAACAACTCCACTAGGAAATCCTTTAATTTTTTTCCTTGCTTCCTTCTTTCCTTAATCCTGCTCTCTACAGAGTATGAAGGTATAAAGTGAGGGACTGATCTCCTTCCAAAATGTTGGGCCATATCTGGCCCTGCAGTGGAGTGCTCCCACTGACCTTACCTTCTACATTTCCAGATTTTATCAGAAGACGCTCTGCTCTGGCTGCAGTCCTACTTTCTTTTTCCATTTTCAGCAAATCCCTGAATTTTCTCACATTTCTCGCTTCTTGGCTGGATTTAGGGCTTGACTGATGCTATTACAGAGAGTGGAAATGTTACTTTCAGCTGTTCTTGGAGAAGGCCTGTACTCCCACAGCTGCTCTTCAAGGCCAAAGGCTCTTCGAGGAGGAAGGGCACAGTACATCTCTCCTTGTTGCCCTGTGTGGAAGTTCTCTGGAAGGTTCACACTTGTACAAGTGTGCCTGTTTTATGTGAACTTCCCACACCTGCATGGGTTGCCATCCAGTTTGGAGATTCCTGTAATGTCAGTGGACCACAACTATCCCCCTCTCAATTCCCCTCCTCCCTTCTTTTCCATGTAGTATTAAGTGAGTTGGTGCATTGCATTCCATTGTTCTCTGCAGGATACATGAACATGAAGATGATGCTGTTGATTCTACCTGTGGGGCAGGGCAGTGTGCAAGTCTTGGAGTTCTTGCTTTTTCCTCCTATCTGATATTAAGGACATCCTTCCCTTGTCCTCTGAGTCAAAAGAATCCGCTGCCTGCAGTGATGGTCTTTAAATGGATGCTTCTACATATTATGCAAAAGTTAGTGACAGAAGAGGAAAAAATGCACAGTAGCCTTTTTACTCAAGGCGTGGTAAAATGGGGGTCCGCTCCTTATAACATTTATGAGAATTTTAAAAAAAATTACTTGTATAATTGCATAACTACTAAAGATAAACGTATAAAACACAGAACTAAGAAGAAATTCAGTACTGCTTGGTATTAAAGACAGATTATCCCACCCTCATCAACAAGCCATTAGCCAAAGCAGTTTCAAAAGATGTTCCATTTTCCAAATTTTCAGCTTTGGCAGGACAAAGGGAAAGGAACACAGCAGGGGATCAGATACTGTGGCTGCCAAGCATTAAGACATTACCAGTGTTTTTGGACAGTGGAAAATAAATATCACCATGTGTGACTTTCTATAATAAATGACAGTGACACAGGGTTTGTTTATACTCCTTGACAATTTTTTAGTTTCCTTTTCTTGGAAATGTAGAAATAAAATGTTTAACCCACACTCATGCCCACATATTGTCAGGACAAAGTGAAGAAATCCTTGTTCTGGGCAGGTACATGTGTGTGCATTAAAAGTTATATATATGTTATGGCAGGATGCAGGAAATTGTCACTGAAGTTATCCGAAAGGCATCACGAAGATGCCTTAGAATGTTTAATGTGAATTTCTCCGGAGACACGGTGTCTCTAAGAAAGCCATTAATAATCAAGTACCTATGAGGAGAGTTACACATCTAGAAGATGGTCAAAGAGTGCAAACAGGTCAAAATCAGGGGCCTGTCCTGGGTGCTAATTGACGTCATGGTTAGACATCATCTCTTTAAGTCCTCAGTTTTCCTATCAGATGTTTTCTTCCTAACTTGCACAGTTAGATGCCAGATTCATAGAATCGTAGAACCATTTAGGTTGGAAAAGATCTGTAAAGTCATCAAATCCAACTGTAGATTATAGTGTTCAGCCATAATCTGCTTAAAGTGTATCACATGCCAAACTATTTGGGATTTCGGGTTTGGTTTTTGTTTTTCTTTCTTCTCTTTTCCTATTTAAGATCCTTTCCTATGTGACCTCCAATGCCAAACTCCAGTGCTGCCCCTAGCATCCTTGGATATGCCAAAAACACAGGGTTTTTTGATGACTGGTTTTGAAGAGGAAAGGGAAGAAAAGATGCTGTGGTGATACCTCACTTTCCAAACTAGCTGTGGAAATAATAACAACCAAAAAAAAAAAAATCCCGGCATGTACTTGCTGCCTTTTATTCATCATGCCTGGAACGGGCTGTTGGAATATCTGCTGCATAATAATCTTCTCTCAGGACCAGCCAGAAATGTTTTCCCTGGGGTCCTGCAAATCTCATCCTCCAACCACCTCTAATTGACGTGTCTGAGTGAGCAAAACCCTTCTGCAGTTGCGGCTTAACCCAACAGAAGAGTCGTTTTGCGGCAGGGAGTATGTCTTTAAGAAGTGGTGTTTTTGCCAACATAAGGGCGGTCCCCACTAGGGGGCTTTATTCTGCCGTGCTGGCCAGCTCCTCTTCTTCCTGCCTCCTGCCCTAACCTGTTAGGGAGAGATGGCTTGGGGAGAGTTTCATAAGGAGACCTTCTTCTGCAGGGGCACCCGTCAGAGTAATGCACAACTCAGGCCTTGCTGGCTGGCTTTCTGCTAAGATCTGTAATCGATGATGCTGGTGGAGAACTTGGACAGACAAGCACCGGGTAGAGACACATGCGTTTCCTGCAAGACTAGAAGGTGTAACGATTTTGAGGGAAATTAGCTTCCACATGTAAGTGACAAATATTTTCATGTTGCTGAATGCACCATTTTTGTATGATAGAATTTAAAAGAGGATGACAGGAAAGAGTGCTTAGGTAGCATGTCTGAAATTGGAGAATGCACATAGAACCCATACTTTGAAAATGCATCTTTTATTATCCTTTACTAGGTTTGACTGAATTGAGAGGAAGGTTTTCCTTTGGAGGATCTGTAGGAAAGAGGTCTACTTAATACACAGTACATCCACCTCAGAAACAAGAACATCTGAGTCAGGCCCCCTGAGAATTGAAACTGTGGTTACAGGCAATCTAGTAAGTCTAAATCTGTGACATAGATGAAGAAACTCCAGCTTCTGTAGTGAATACTGTGTTCTGTTTTTATAAGAAGGGGTGTAAGTTCTAAAGATGTAGGACTTGCTATATGAGTACTATGACATAGTTATTGGTTTTTCTTTGTGTTTCTGGAATAAATTTATATGTAAACCTTTATTGTGCTACACAAGTGAAATGTGCAGAAGATGGTAACTTATTTCAATTGATTTATTGTTGTGTTAACTCAACGTATTCCCAGATTTCTTGAACATGAAACATTTTCCTGGAAGATGTACATCCATGGCATGTGCAATAGTGTGCAGTGGAAACATTTAACCAAAGTCTTCTTTTCTCAGGAAAGAAAAATGATTGTAGGATCTTCCCAAAACAGAATCACATTGTCCTTTATTAAAACAGTTAGGAAAATAAACATTTTTACAAACTTATCCTTTGTCATGGGAGTTGTTCACAAACCCAGATACGCTCTTTTTGGTGTTTTTTTTGCTGTTGTTGTTTATTTCCCCCCCCTCCCCACAGCCTCAACTAAATGTAACAGGCAAAGAACATGCATTTCTATTCAATAAAAAAATATTCATGTGTGTGCTAGAAATCAGTAATATTTGCTACATAATTTCAGTTTTAAGATTAGATTTGGGTTTAAGAAAGTTAACGTCCATGCATGATTCAATTTGTCATTCATGAGGTTCTGGTTTATTTATTTTATTTTCTAAACAAGCAGGCATGTACACACATGTTAATGTAAAAAGCAGAGCGAATGTTCATTTAAAATAAGGATTAAATCAAATCCTGTTCCAATTAAACCCTTGGGCTGAGCTGTGGTGAGGCAAATGAGAGGGACTAGTAAGGCACTCTGTGCTTAAAAATGTCTTGCTGAAACAGACTGGGGTGGTTTAAATGGGCTATTTATATTAGTCAAAAAATGAATCTTAAAAAACTATGTTAAAATAAATGAGTCTTGGCAGATCTGTGAACACGCCAGACTTGCAAACTGTCTGCAGGGTTTCTGCTCAGCCTTTGGAATTTCTTATTTAGAGCTTTGGTGAAATTAGGAAAACCATCCAAAACAATGCACAAAGGGGCACGATGTGTGAGTGCTGGGCTGCCGTGAAATGACAGGAAAAGTACAGGGATCTGCATGTTCTCGCCCATGGCACCGGTGATGGTGGTGGCCAGCAGCACCACACTGATGGTGTTTTTCCCTCTTTGCCCCTCAGGATGTGACATGTGTGCTGACAACCGCAACGGTGAGTGCCCTATGCACGGGCCCCTCCACTCCCTGCGCCGGCTGGTGGGCACCAGCAGTGCAGCCGCAGCAGCCCCTCCACCTGAGATCCCAGAGTGGCTCCGGGACCTGCCCCGAGAAGTGTGTCTGTGCACCAGCACTGTGCCTGGCCTGGCCTATGGCATTTGTGCGGCACAGAGGATTCAGCAGGGCACCTGGATTGGGCCCTTCCAGGGAATCCTGCTCTTGCCAGAGAAGGTTCAAGCAGGTGCCATCAGGAACACTCAGCATCTCTGGGAAGTAAGTTATCATCTTTCCTTCCTTGTCAAATTTAATCATTTTGAAGTAGACCTGGAGTGCAATTGTGTGTAGTAGTAGCACTGTCCACTAGCCATGAAAAAAAGCAAACAAACCCACAATTTAAGTGAACTGAGCAAGCAGATTTGAAAATGTAAACAATGCAAGCAAAAGCCTTGCTGTACTAAAGGTAGCCAGAAAACCAGTGGATACCACAGATATCACAGTGGTTTACGGAAGAGCAGATTCCTGCAGATGCTGTGATGAGGAGTAGAGAGACATGGCCAGAGAAGTTTGAAGCTTACAAAACCCAGTGTTTTCTACATTCTGACCTGAATAACAAGAGCTGATGGAGCTCTCAGATCACAGCACCAGCTGTATCATCTTAGAGTAGCACTTGTGGATTGAGATGGCATACTGCACCATGGCTGTGACCCACAGGCAGTCTGAGAAAGCTGCTGAAACAAAGGCAGGGGCCTATTCTACAGCCTTGCTTTTTGCACAATGAGAGTATTAGTGCTTGTTCACAGTGTAGTTTAACTCTGGTGCTGTACTGACTGTGCATTCCCCTAATGATGCTTCCAGTGCTTTCATGTGAAAGCCACTTTCACATGCCCTCCAATTTTTATTTTTTTCTTTAATATTTGTCACTATCTTAAAGAGGGTAACAGTGATAACTGTTAGGGAAAATACATGGTCCTGGTGTGTCAGAAACAGCTTACTTTCTTCCTAGTATCTTCCATTCATTTTTTCATTTATGCTGAAATGTGTAATTTTTTAGTTCTGCTTAGTCGTCTGTAGCTGCAGCTTCTGCTCTCCTTGAGACTGACTGCTACAGTGACTCATAGGAACATGTCCATAAATCTGCAGGTGCTATTTGCTCATCAAGACTGAATCCGAATCTTCAGAATATAAGGAGTCCATGAAGATGCAAAGGGTGTTTTTGCTGTCTTCAGGGAGTATAGAGTAAAAGTGAATGGATTTTTGAAAGATATTTGGCGGTGTGGAGTAGGAGTCCCCGTGCTTTTCCTGTCGAGGTCTTTGTCTCAAAGTGTTTACCCAAAAGACCATTGTGACAAGGAGATTTTCACGTTAAAGAGTAAAAGATTAGCCTCAGAACACACTCAAAAGGTGCTCAAGAAAGCTGGATGACTTGCAATCATTGGAAGTTTTGTTGTTGCCTCCAGTGGAGATGGAATTTCTCTTGGATAGTATATATCGATGATTGGGTCTTAAATCCGTTCCTACCAAAGCCCAGTGATTATAATGAGAGAATTTTGGGATACGTTATTAATCAAATATTTTTTATGGGACACTCAATTTTGGAAGCTTTATTTTAATTGTTGAGAGGGGTATTGTCATTTAGACTATTCTAATTAACAGAACACATAATAGTAAAATGAGCTTGCCAGATCCACAGACTACATAAAATATTGAAATTTAAATAAAATAAATGGACTCAGAGAATTTTACATTGTCCATAAATATTTACATTATCTTTTTTTTTATTATGAGTCAGTTTTATGCAAGATAAATTGCAAATCTTGACAATATCTTTTTTTTAAAGGCAAGAATTTTTAGTCAGATTTCAGGGTAACTTAAAAACTGTTTTAAAACAATGAAAGAAAAACTAAAAGCAAAGAACAAAAAGAAGTTAAGCAAAAATAAGAAATAGTACTATTGTGGGTGTCAGATTCAGGCCGTCAGCAGGTCTCAGCTGAGTTTTTTTTGTGGGATTCCTTTTCTGTTCTTAACGCACAACACAGATTTCCTGTTGGCCAGCAAAAAGAGTGTGTGTCTTTTAAGTGAATTATCTTAAAAATAATAATTAAATTTAATTTATTATTAATGTATTGTTGGGCGGCTCATGGTCTTGAATTATTTCTGTCTTGAATTAATGACAAAAGCTGTTAGCAAAAAAGCACATACTCAAAGCTTTAGCTAAAAGTTTTGGCTGTTTCTCATTTGTTTTGACTTTCAATTTGGTGTGTTTTATATATCACAGAACAAATGTTTAATAAAGAAAAATTTAGTGAAAGAAAGTAATCAGAAAGTGTGTGTGATTTTACAAAACCTGACCTATGAAAATAAATAAAAGCAAATGAAAGTATGTATGTGAATAGACTGTATTCTTTTAGTCTAAATGGTATGGGAGTGTGGATTAAATCACTGAAAATGAAAAAGGAATGACTCATCACTGTCCATTTATAATTTTGTGGCTTTAGTCAATTCTCTACCACTAATATTTTCAAGATATCTGCAAATACAAGTCTGTCTACAGATTAGTTATTCAGCATTAGTTCTTGATGGACCTTATAGAGAGAACTTCTCTTTCTTAGTATTGCAATAACTTTTTAACATTTTTCTCTCAGCACTTTAAAGTCAAGTTGATAGATACTTATTTTAGTTTACAGTTCTTTGTTTTCAGTGTACACCAGCCAAATAGAAGTGCTATTCCAAAGACTTTCAAGAGTAGTTACTGTTTTGGTGGCTTTTTTTTAAAACTCTTTGTTGTGGGAAACATCAGAGGCACCGCATTTAATGTATAGCTCAGTCTTATGGAAATATGCTTCAGTCTGTCTGCACAAGTGTTCCCACCATGCATTCGATGTTAGCTTTGTATGTAATCCATACAGCATAATGTACAACAATTCAGAGTAAATTACATACCATTCCATTACCTCGCAACAGGTCTTGACACCTATGGGTGTTCATGAGAAATTATAGAGTTCTCTCACAATCATCTAGGATATTTTTTTATAACTTACAGGAAGATAAGCCTTTCAGAAAGCCAAAAATATTAGTCACTTTCAGTTGTAGTGCTTTTTTTTCCCCTTTGGCCCACTTCTAGTCAATCCAGAGTTTGCTTGTGTTTTATAAAAATACAATAAACCCTGATTTGTTTAAAACAAAAACAGGACTGGGTGTATTAAGTAAACACTCTCTTTGGTAATACAGGCATTTTTTCCAGCAGTGCTTGATAATATTTCTGATCCCCCCCATTTTTTTTTCTGAAGTAGTGAGAATAATTCTTTTGTTATTGCAAAGCAAACAAAGACTTTCTCAGCAATTAGGTCTTACTGATGAGAATGAGATAATTTTTCCCTAATGTGTTTTCTAATAAAGGAGTGAAAAGGCACACTTGATTCCAACATATATGAAAACATTATCTCAATTATTAATGTGTCCTTACTCCCTGGAGATAAATTAATCTAGTTGCACATGGTTTCCCCTTTCTGTTTAACATCAAAATTTAATAAGAGCAGACTTAAGGAAAATATAAGATATCCACTTAAATTCTATTAGAAGAAAATAAAGAAGTTTAAAAGGAACTACATGTTGGTAGTTGCAGTTTTTCAGGCTCCAAACTTTAAACTGTGAATTCTGGAAACAGCCAATTTGTAAATGGTCTTTTGCCCTGCAAATGCAGTTTAGACAAAAAAACTTTTATTGACAGGCATATCAAAGGATACAGTCTTACAGTTTCTTTTTCTTCATGCGCCCGGTAAAGAGTTTGCTGTCTTATTTACTTATTTATTTATTTGGTCAGAGGTCAAATAGTTATTTTTTTCTTAGAATAGTCCAAGAATGTCAAATATATTATTTCACTTTGTTTTAGCTTGACTTAATTCAAGCTTAATTTCTGGGAGAAATGCTTTTTCATATGCCACTTTTCTTACAGGGATGAGCAAAATATACATACATAAGGGAGTTCATTAGTGAATACAAAGTGGTAAACCAGTGTAACTGATTTTTCCCTTAATAATTTCTTCCCTCCCCTCTCCTCCCAAACTAACTGATCCTACTAGAAAGGGTGCATGTCATCTTAATAAAGTACCATTTGGGTACTTATTGGTCTTTTTGTGTCTCAGCTGAAGTAAAAGAAAACATTGTCTTTAACTTCATCTGGACCAAGAATAGGAAATTTGCTGGGATGCATGTTGGCCAGAGCCCATGCAGCAATACTATACATTTCTAAACAAATTAATATGCACAGAGAATCCTTACCTTTCAAATGAAGCACTCACTCCGGCTGTGGTGAAAGATTTGTATTCAGATTCTCAAACCTGTAGTTTTGGACTAAATTCGCTGTTACAGCAAAGCACTGGGGGATAGAATTATGCGCCTGCCGTCGTTCTGTTAAAGTGAAAATTATGTTTCTCAGCAATCCATCATCTAGTATTCTAGACTGCTTGTCAGCCTTGCTTCAACGTTGTCATGTTCATGAAATTCAAATAATTTTGTCTTGAAAAAACCCCTTAGTTATACTACTATTATATCTTAAACTATGCAGAGTAACAGCTGGTGCTATTCTGTTACTTTCTTGTTTTGTCATTTCTGTGGATTTTGCATTGTTTATCACCCTTGCATTTATTTTCCATTGAAAAAGCACAATAAATTTTAGTTTTACATGGATTTTAAGTTCTCATACTGCCTACTGGAAATACCCATAATGTTGTGTTCAGTAGCTTACTAAACTGTAAATTCAGTATGAAGTGCCACAGCTTCCTTAATGCGTGTATCCTAGGAGAAAATTGTGCTAAGCCATTACAAAGCAGCTTGCTATCATTAGTACTTCTGGAGGACTTAGTATCACATTTTTCCAGATAACTTCTGTATGTTACAGATTCCTTTCTTAGGGTCAATGCAAAGTTGGTTTGATCACAAAGGTATATGGGAAAGTACTTTATACTGAGTAATTTTTGTTCTTAGAAAAGCTAAACTAAACTTTGATGTTTCTTTTAGAAGCCTTGTGATTTTTTTAAGACCTTCTCACACATTATCTTCATGTATCTCCATGTTTGTGGTATCTTCATTTGATCTACAGAATGATCTACAACAAATCTTCATATATCTACAGTAGTTGTACAGATCTAATGTATGCCTGGCAGATAAATAAGTCTAAGCACACATGAAACAAATCTAATTTAACATGGGGGCAGATTTCTCTTCCTATTTCACAAAGTGAAGTTTGGACTAAAGTTTGGTGTTTGGAGTTGGAT